TGTAATTTTGTTAAAATTTTCGATGTCGATTTTCTCGGAAACGGTACCCCTTAGTGGGATACTTCTAATAGGCTTTTTTGTAGTACTCGACGGGATCTATAAGTTTTACATTTAAAGTTTCTCTCCATAGCTTTTCGTTTTCGAGTTAGGACGGTTTGAAAATTGAAAAAAAAAATTCGAAGGCTTACACCCTTTAAATTTTTTATCGAAAAAATTCAAATATCGAATTTCAAAAAAAGAAAAATTCTATCGGATAGAGGAGCAAAAAATACGTCAAAAAGTAAATTTGACCCTCCTCGCTACGGTACATCTTAAGGCCGAAAAAAAATAAAATGGGAAATATTGAGGTTTGACAAGCATTGATGTCACACGACTTGAAATGTTTTGAAAAGATATTATGCGTGGCGGAATCCTTTTTTTGATATTGAACCTGCTTATCGAATTTTTGACATTGACAGCTGTCAAAGCTGGCTATGGAATTTTTCCAGTATATCCTACGTGTTCGCCAGGGCTAAATCTATACGCCCATGTGATTTTTTTTAAATTTTAACAACTGTCAATGTCAAATTTTTTTATCATTTCATTTTTTCAATAAACAATCGTCAGAAAACGATCCCCAGGCTCCAAAAACCCTAAAATAAAAAGTTTCATCGATATATGTCAAAAACTAACCGCCTGGTGACGCCGAATGTCTTTTTTGACATATTACATATAATCCTGTTTTGAATTTCAAAAAAAAAAAATATATTATCGGATAGAGGAGCAAAAAATACGTCAAAAAGTTAATTTGACCCGTCTTGCTGCGGCTCATCTTAAGGCCGAAAAAAAATAAAAAAAGGAAATTTCGGTTTTGATCAGAAAAAAATTGTGGGGATCCGACACGAGACTACTCTTTCGCTTATAGCTCCGCTATATTTCAACCGATCGTTTCGAGTCATATCTCATTCGAAAGACGATAAAATTATCTACAAAATATTTTTTTAATGAGTCTCCAGGCCGTCTTTGTGTTTGAGATATTGGCCGTCAAAGTTGAAATTTCTTGTAATTTTGTTAAAATTTTCGATGTCGATTTTCTCGAAAACGGTGCCCCGTAGTGGGATACTTTTAATAAGCTTTTTTATAGTACTCGACGAGATCTATAAGTCTTACATTTAAAGTTTTTCTCTCAAGCTTTTCGTTTTCGAGTTAGGACGGTTTAAAAATTGAAAAAAAAAAATCGAAGGCTACACCCTTTGAATTTTTTTGTCGAAAAAATTCAAATATCGAATTTCAAAAAAAGAAAAAATCTATCGGATAGAGGAGCCAAAAATACGTCAAAAAGTAAATTTGACCCTCCTCGCCACGGCACATCTTAAGGCCGAAAAAAAATAAAAAAGGAAATTTCGGTTTTGATCAGAAAAAAATTGTGGGTATCCGACACGAGACCAGTCTTTCGCTTATAGCTCCGCTATTTTTCAACCGATCGTTTCGAGTCATATCTCATTCGAAAGAGGATGAAATTACCTACAATATATTTTTTTATTGAGTCCAGGCCGTTTCTGTCTTTGAGATATTGGCCGTCAAAGTTGAAATTTCTTGTAATTTTGTTAAAATTTTCGATGTCGATTTTCTCGAAAACGGTGCCCTCTGGAGGGATACTTCTAATAAACTTTTTTGTAGTACTCGACAAGATCTATAAGGTTTATATTTAAAGTTTTTCTCCCAAGCTTTTCGTTTTCGAGTTAGGACGGTTTGAAAATTAAAAAAAAAAATCGAAGGCTTCCCTTTCAATTTTTTTGTCGAAAAAATTCATATATCGAATTTCAAAAAGAAGAAAAATTCTATCGGATAGAGGAGCAAAAAATATGTCAAAAAGTTAATTTGACCCTCCTCGCCAAGGCACATCTTAAGGCCGAAAAAAAATAAAAAGGGAAATATTGAGGTTTGACAAGCATTGATGTCAATTTTTTTTTTACACGACTTGAAATGTTTCGAAAAAATATTATGCGTGGTGGAATCCTTTTTTTGATATTGAACCTGCTTGTCATATCTTTGACGTTGACAACTGTCAAAATTGGTGTTTCCAAAAAATGGAATCCGTCCCTCTTTAGATTTCTTTAAAGTGCTTCCAAATCACCAGGCGAATTTTTTTTAGTTTTTTTTCAAATCTTTGAGGTCGATTTTCTCGGAAACGGTGTCCCGTGGAACGAAGACTCTAATGGGTATTTTTGTAGTACTCGATGAGATCTACAAGTTTTACATTTAAGGTTTTTCACCTGGGCTTTTCGTTTTCGAGTTAGGACGTTTTGAAAATTTAAAAAAAAAAAACCAAGGCATTTACCCTGGATTTTTTTTTCGAAAAATTTCGACTTTCGAATTTTGAAAAAAAAAAAAACACCGAAGGAGTCAGCGTGTCCTCCCAGGCCGAGTGGCCCGGGTAACCCGCTGAACTTCCTTCGGGCTAGGGATTTCGGCTTGCAATTGTTCCCCATGAACGAGGAATTCCCAGTAAGCGTGAGTCATAAGCTCGCATTGATTACGTCCCTGTCCATTGTACGCACAGCCCGTTGCTACTACTAATTGAACGATTCAGTGATTTTTTTTGAGAGCCTGGAATAAAAACATTATTAGTTTAGTAAAATTTCCAAGAGCCGAGAATAAAAACAATATTAATTTACTAAAATTTTCAAGAGCCGAGAATAGAAACATAATGTTACAAGTTCAAGAGCCGAGAATAGAAAAATAATTAGTTTAGTGAAATTTCCAAGAGCCGAGAATAAAAACTTTATTAATTTAGTAAAATCTCCAAGAGCCGAGAATAGAAACAAATTGACACAAATTTAAGAGCCGGGAATAAAGAAATTATGTTCCTCCGATGATTCGACGGGCAACTTCTGAGAAACTAAAGCTTTTGAATTCCGGGGGAAGTATGGTTGCACATCTGAAACTTAAAGGAATTGACGGAAGGGCACCACCAGGAGTGGAGCCTGCGGCTTAATTTGACTCAACACGGGAAACCTCACCAGGCCCGGACACCGGAAGGATTGACAGATTGAGAGCTCTTTCTTGATTCGGTGGGTGGTGGTGCATGGCCGTTCTTAGTTGGTGGAGCGATTTGTCTGGTTAATTCCGATAACGAACGAGACTCTAGCCTGCTAACTAGGCGTATTCGGCATCCTAAAGGCCCGCCGTTTTGGGGTTCGCTCCTTGACGTGCGCGGTTTTTACTGTCGGCGTACAAACAATTCTTCTTAGAGGAATTGGCGGCTTCTAGCCGCACGAGATTGAGCAATAACAGGTCTGTGATGCCCTTAGATGTTCTGGGCCGCACGCGCGCTACATTGAAGGAATCGGCGTGTCCTCCTTGGCCCAGTGGCCCGGGTAACCCGCTGAACCTCCTTCGTGCTGAGGATGGGGCTTGCAAGTGTTCTCCATGAACGAGTAATTCCCAGTAAATTGATTACGTCGTTCATTCGAATAGTTTAGGTGAAATTTCCGATGTACACCTAATATTGCCAGTAGTCATATATGCTTGTCTCAAAGATTAAGCCATGCATATCTCAGTACAAGCCAAATTAAGGTGAAACCGCGAAAGGCTCATTAAATCAGTTATGGTTCCTTAGATCGTACCCACAATTACTTGGATAACTGTGGTAATTCTAGAGCTAATACATGCAAACAGAGCTCCGACCGGAGACGGAAGGAGTGCTTTTATTAGATCAAAACCAATCGGTGGCGGGCTTGCTCGTCATCGTACAAATTGGTGACTCTGAATAACTTTACGCTGATCGCACGGTCATCGCACCGGCGACGCATCTTTCAAATGTCTGCCTTATCAACTGTCGATGGTAGGTTCTGCGCCTACCATGGTTGTAGTAACGGGTAACGGGGAATCAGGGTTCGATTCCGGAGAGGGAGCCTGAGAAACGGCTACCACATCCAAGGAAGGCAGCAGGCGCGCAAATTACCCACTCCCGGCACGGGGAGGTAGTGACGAAAAATAACGATACGGGACTCATCCGAGGCCCCGTAATCGGAATGAGTACACTCTAAACCCTTTAACAAGGATCAATTGGAGGGCAAGTCTGGTGCCAGCCAGCAGCCGCGGTAATTCCAGCTCCAATAGCGTATATTAAAGTTGTTGCGGTTAAAAAGCTCGTAGTCGAATTTGTGTCTCGCGCCGCCGCTGGTTCATCGTCCGCGGTGTTAACTGGCGAGTCGCGAGACGTCCTGCCGGTGGGCTTAGCTCGCAAGGGCGGCCCAACTCAATCCTGCCGCGGTGCTCTTTATTGAGTGTCGAGGTGGGCCGGCACGTTTACTTTGAACAAATTAGAGTGCTTAAAGCAGGCTAAAACTTCGCCTGAATACTGTGTGCATGGAATAATGGAATAGGACCTCGGTTCTATTTTGTTGGTTTTCGGAACTCCGAGGTAATGATTAATAGGAACGGATGGGGGCATTCGTATTGCGACGTTAGAGGTGAAATTCTTGGATCGTCGCAAGACGGACAGAAGCGAAAGCATTTGCCAAAAACGCTTTCATTGATCAAGAACGAAAGTTAGAGGTTCGAAGGCGATCAGATACCGCCCTAGTCCTGGTACTAACTATAAACGATGCCCGCGCGCGATATGTAAGGTACTTCCCGACTAGCTAGAGAGTTGAAATTTTCTGGGCACTTAGAAATTTTAATTTTGTCGAGAAAAAATCAAGCACGTCCCCCCCCTCCCCTGGGGGACCCTGGGGGGGCTGTCAAAGTTTTTCCTTTCGACCCCTGTACAGCTCAAACGGGTGGGGGGAAAAAATGAAATTTTGAGGGGATGTAGAGAAAAAGTTCCTCTATCGAATGGATGGGGGGGGGGGCGAATTTTTAAAAAATTTTGGATGGGGGGAAAAACATAAAAAACGCGATATCTCGAGAACGGACCCCCCTTTCCGATCTAAAAATGACGCCCCTGTGACTTCGTGCAGTGAAAAAATCGCCAAAATCTCCTAAAAAGGCCGCAGCCGCCGCAAAATCGACAGCCGCCAAGAAAGCTGCAGAAGAGAAAAAGGCTAAGCCCGCAGAGAAAAAGGCTAAGCCGGCTGCCGCAGCTGCCAAAATTAAGACTCCATCGAAAGCCAAAAAGTCCAACAAGGCCAGGCCTACCAAGAAACCGAAGGCACCCAAACCGAAAACTGCCAAAGCGCCAGCTGCAGCTCCAGCGAAGGCAAAAAAGACGGCGTCACCCAAGAAGAAGAAGTAAATAATCGGTCAACGTTTTTTACTACGACTCCGAGGACGATGCACGTTTTTTGTGCACATGTGTTATTGAAAATCGGTTCTTTTCAGAACCACAACCACTATTCAGAAAGAAAATCGTTTTTTATTGCTTTTTATTTATCCGAGCGAATTTATTATTATTATTATTATTATTATTTTTTTGCAACCATAGGTAGGTATTTCCTATTGGCTATTATAGGTACATAGGTAGGACCTATAATGTCGAAATTACCGGATTTTCAAAAATCCGTAAACGTCACGACGCTACCAACCTACTATCCCTTTTCGATTTCGTTCACTCAAATCAATTTGCTAATTTACTTATACCTTTGCTGATGTCACCAAAAAAAAAAATGAGAACGCTTCGTCGTCAGATAAAAACGTGCCAAAACAACGATTTACACATTTCTATAGGTAGGCATGTTTATTCGATTTTTTTTTTTTCTAATTAGCGAAAAATCAAATAACTAACAGGTAGGTAGGTATATAACCATATAGTTCCTATACAGAAAACGGAGGGATGAAAGTTTTCGTCCCTGTCTCGAGATTATCGGTGTGAATAAAGTAAGAGATTAGGTATTTTATTTTTCTTTCATAAAGGCGATTGTGGCTCTGAAAAGAGCCGTTTTTCAATGTCGTCCATAGCAAAAGTCCATTTACTTGGAGCTCGTGTACTTCGTTACGGCCTTGGTGCCTTCGCTGACGGCGTGCTTGGCTAATTCACCGGGCAATAACAACCTCACTGCGGTCTGGATTTCTCTGCTGGTGATGGTCGATCTCTTGTTGTAGTGAGCAAGACGGGACGCTTCGGCAGCGATCCTTTCGAAGATGTCGTTGACGAAAGAGTTCATTATAGACATGGCCTTACTGGAAATTCCAGTATCGGGATGAACTTGCTTCAAAACTTTGTAAATGTAGATAATAATAATAATAATAATAATAATAAAAGGACTTTATTAAAAAATTGAAAAAAAAAAATACAGATACAATAAGTTGAATACATAATTTTAAGTAAGGTTGGTATAAAGAACGGGTTGCTACCCCGTGGCGAAGTCTAGCACCAGGAGCTATTTTTACTCAACCACAAAGAAGGCCCATTACTTTATGTAAAATAAAACAGGTGTTCCCAAATGGTACCGCACCAATTAAAAAAATTCCATTTTTTGTTGTTTTATAGTTGTTTTTTTCTTGCTCTTCCATGCATCGACCATCCCACCGCACAACATTTCACTATCACTCCAATCTATCTTTTTCTTTATCTATTATTATGGGATTGAATAGAAAACAGAAACTGCCGGTATTTAATCTTAAATTGATGTACATTTAGTTGTTTTAATTCATCTAGAGTCTCATTATAAAATTTAATGGCTTTGTAAATGCAGCTCCTTTGATACACACAAGTTCTGAAACGAGGGACCTGATACTGTTTTTTGTGTCTAATGTATACATTATGAAGAGTGGACCGAGGAATAAATTTATTTTTTAGAATTTTAGATGAGCTATCCGTTGTTAGAACACAATGGACAAAGTTGGCGAGGTGGTGTTTCCTACGGTTTTCCATATTTAGCCAAGAGGCATCTGTCACTTTCTGGGAAATTCTGTCAAACTTCTTTAGACCGTAAATCAGTCTACAACAGTTATTTTGCATTTTTTGTATTCTGAATTTATCGTTGCTGTAAAGGCAGTTGCTATAAAGAAAATCACAGTAGTTACAGTTTGACAGAACCAGGCTTTCACAAAGATTTTTTTTAAGTTTTAAGTCCAAAATATGTCTATTTGAATATAAGAGTTTAAGAGAACAGAATGCTTTTCTGCTTATATTTTTGACATGCTCAACAAATCTTAAATCTTCGTCAATTGTAAGGCCAAGACTTTTGACAGAAGTTTCGAATGGCAGCAGTACGTTATTAATTTTTACGCTGAGGTTTTGCTTAATAAAATTCCGATATTTAGTTTTCCAAAGCATATTGCCTGTGATTTTTTGGAATTGAGTAAGAGGTTGTGTTCCTCTGATAGTTGCTGAATTTTACTTAGTTCGTTTTTAATTGTATTTTCCGCTTCTGCGTAATCCGAAACTTTAAAGTGATGGTAAATTTGCTTGTCATCCGCATAGGCCGCTACAGAACAGAGACTTACGGAGTTGAGGATGTCGATTGTATATATAATAAACATAAGGGGTGCTAGAATAGAGCCCTGGGGGACTCCACTTAAGATAGCAGAATTTTGAGAAGACACTCCATTGAAACTTATTTTTTGAAACCTCTCCGAGAAGTAAGACTTGATCAAAGAAACAGAGTCATAATCAAATCCATAAACTTTTAATTTTGAGCACATTAATCGATGGTCTATTGTATCGAAGGCTTTTGAGAAATCCAGCAAAACAAGCACGCTAATCTCTCCTGAATCCCAGGCTGACATAATATCATCCAGTATTGTGGTCAAAGCGGTTGCTGTGCTGAAATTTTTTCTGAAGCCGCACTGAGTGTCGGGAAGAATCTTGTTTTCAATTATATACTTGAAAATCTGGTTATATAGGACACGTTCTAATATTTTGGACATAGCTGGCAACAAACTTATTATTCTAACATCGGCAAGACTCTGAGGATTTGTGTTTTTAGCCAGTGGCCTACCAATTGATGTTTTCCAGATCTTAGGAAAGTAGTTTTGCTCGATACAACAATTAATTATGTTCAAGAAGTAGTACAGCAACAGGGGTTTCACCATCAAAATCCGACCATAACCTCAATCTTTCATTCTTGACACGTGGTGGATGCGCCGTCGTCGACACGAAGGTGGATGCATCGTCGGCGCCATCTGGTCAAACGTCATGGCGCCATCTAGCGTACATAGTGTGAAGTTCGTAATACAGGATGCTGTAGTTGGGGGCCCGCAGGACTCCGCCCCCACCAAAAAAAGGGGGCCCGCAGGGCTCCGTCCCCAAAAAGTGCCCGCAGGGCTGCGCCCCCCAAAAAGGGGCCCCCGGATTATATTATGGGTACCAGAAAAAGGGGTGGGGGGAAATGTTTTCCCGCCATCTTGTCAACCGTCAGCTGTTGAACGTTATCTGTCAAACGTCATCTGTCAAACGTCATCTGTCACCTGTGGTGACGTCATACCGGGTGAGTGCAGTGAATTCTTACAATTACAGTTTCCTGTAATATGGAGTTTGCGTGGAAGGAATTGTTCCGAGTCGTTTCGAAATCGCTACGTATAGTTAATTATGGTTCGGGGAATTACAGTTTCCTGTGATATGAAGTTTGCGTGGGAGGAATTGTTCCGAGTCGTTTCGAAATCGCTACGTATATTTAATTATGCTTCGGTGATGACGTCATAGCGACCTGGGTCACGTCTATTTTTGCATCAAACGCCTATCATTCCGTAAACACGCGTTATATAATTTTTTACTTATATGGTCACGTCAATGTGTGTCGGTGGCGCCATCTAGCGTACGTAGTGCGACGTGTCCTATTACAGGATGCCGTAGTGGTAAATAAAGAAAATTCGTGAAACTCAAGGTTGCACAACATCGAGTGATCGAGTCGACAACGTTTAATGTCGGAGCGTTATAAACAAAGGTATCATATTTCACAGTTTATTTCACTGATAAGCATTTCCGTTCTAGCGAAAATAACAAGCTGGGACTTGCATCTAATATTTTGTTGATGAAAAAAGGATATTTTCACTGCAGATTAACTATGGGAAATTTAATGAATTAAATGAGTCACACTGGTTTTTTTTTTTTTTTTCGAATTAAAACCTATTTATTTATTAAACCATAGGGTACATTGACTTTTTCCAATATGGTACGTTAAATTCAATAATAATATTACGCAGCAAATGGCAATAAATATGACTACATTTAAAGTGGATTTCGGTGCGATGTCGTTGTCTGATAAAGTCTTATGGGAATTATTGTATGTTTCTTCTTGCTGTTGTGGTTCTCGGATGAGAGTTCTCCATTCGGTATCTCCAACAGTTTCATCATGAAAATGCAGCCTCACCTTGTAACGCAGGTACGCCAATGACGTCGACGACGGTATACGAGTCGTAAAAACTGCTAAATGGCCCTTATCTATTACTTCATAATGCATTTCTGTCCACGATGTTGTGTTATTAGGTGCGGAAAAGTCCAGCATTATTGACATTTTGTTGACATTGTACGGTCTGTGTACATAGAAACTATTTTGCACAAGGGCAACCAAGAGAACATAGTACGATTGACTTGACACCATCATGGTTAGTAATTGAATGAATTTAAGATTCATTTACACATCCCTAATAAATTGGCGTAATGGTTAATATAATGCAAACGATTTTTTCACCAAGAAAACTTTTATTTTAATAGAAACATCATACAACTTAGTCAAATTCATCGTAACCTATATATTTTGCAATAATATCATCACACATGTATTTAGCGCCATACTGTTTTAATTGCTGATGTAGTCCATACTGATTCATAAGCACACATAGGTCCTCCAAGGAGATGGAATTAGCCAGATAAAGATTACAAGACTTGACACCATTTTCATATTTTTCCACATCCTGCGCGGAAAACCAACCATTAGTGTCGGGTTCTTGCTCAAGTGCTTGAAGTAAAAAGTACATGTCTGTTTCTAAACTATTACGTAGCAAATAGACAGCTTGTCTTATACAGGAAGATTGATGATGGCAGCAGGCATCACCACGACGACCAGTAATACTACAACCGGACATTTTGACTCTTCAAAGGTTGCTATTGTAGTGTGAAAAATAAAAAGCAAGCCTGTTTTTTATAGTCATTTATTAATACTTATACTAATTGGATTGGAGGGTGGTACAACACGCGTCCAGCTTATCTAAATCCCTGACAATTTTGCCTAGGTTCATAGTAGCAAGTTCTAGAAAGTAGCAGCTACGTTCACATTTGTTCAAGTTACACATGCTGATAATTGATTGCAAAAGATGGCTGCCGTTTTTGACATTGTGAATTACATTCAAATA